ACTCATGCCTCCATTTGCTACCGCCATACTCTAGCATTTATGCAGCTCTCCACTTGCAGGCTCCTTGATCGGTCCCTAGGCTCATCATGCTCTAGTGGGCAGAGATAATGCAGATATTTGTTCCAAGTATGATAAGTGGGACGTTCGAGTTATACCGAACGGTGTCCCCGTTGACTGAGTTATCCCGTTCAGGGTCTTATAAGGTTGGACCAGGCTCCATTTGGGCTTGCCCTTTCCCTCATGCCCCCAAGTTATCTTGGGTCGGATATTTGGGCCAGGCCCCAATATCCCAACACAAGTCCTCCACTCCCGATGTCTCGAACGGAATGAGGGCATAAGGAAGTAGAAGAATAAGTTTTGACACCGTTTGGGAGATATCGAACGGGTTCTCGCTGGTTCCCGATGCAAAAATTTGACGGTTATCTGCGGCTGCCGGTTTGGTTTCCCATAATCGTCATGATTACTCACTGTACCATCTCTGCTTGACACGTGTCCTAGCAACCGCTACTCGTGACGTGTCCTTTTCTGGTTGGCTAGCGAAACAGCGTCCTCAGCCTATAAATTAGGCCTTTGGGTCTCTAGTTCTGGATTTCGAAATTTCCATATTCGCTCAGTTGATCTGCCTTCTCTCTAAATCCTAGTCTTCAGTCTTTGTTAAGATACTCTTCGCCCCTTCTCTTCCTCCTTCGTCCCCAATCCTTCGTTCGGACGATATGTCTGAACATTCAAGTCCCTCTTGTTCTCCTTCTGCCTCTGGTTCTTCTAGATCAGACCCCACTATTAAAGAGGTGGTCCGGGGCGCTGCGACTGATGTCACCGCTGACACTGCGGCTGGTACCAGCACCGCCGCTGAAAACGCGGGTGGTTGTTCTTCTTCCGGCAGTGACTCCAAGGATGTCAAATCCGGCGACGAGATGGCCTTTATGGGGCGGTCAGCTCCCCAGATGATTTACCTCGTCACAAGATGGACTTAAACCTAATTTGGCGGAGGAGGCAAAAACTCACCTCCCACAATAGGACCCAAATTCCATTTCTAATATCAGACCCAGTGGACTTTCGCCTCCAGGTTGTCTTCATCCGATGCGCCACCACCCATTAATGGTGGTGGTTCACTTCGATTCTGTAAAGGCTGGGCTTAGTTTCCCGTTGCACCCCTTCTTCATTGCATTTCTGAACCACTATGAGGTGGTCCCGACCCAAATCATGCCCAATTCTTACCGAGTAATGGCCGGGTTCATCTGCCGCTACGTTGATACCTGGACCTGTTCCGCAATTTCTTCAAGGTGGCCCCTCACCAGACCCATGGTTACCTTGCTGTGAGTGCCCAAATGGGACAAATATTGTTTACGCGGAACCTTACATCGAGTAAGGGGTGGAAAGACCGTTTTTTCTTTGTCTCTGTTCCGAACGACATTGTACCGAAGAGGTGGAATGCCTTTCCGTCCAAGTCTGCGGAACCGTTCATCTCCAAAGAGCTTGGCGAACAGATTGTTGCTTTGGAGAAGGGCAAAACTTCCAAGATCATGGAGTATCCGACTCCCGACCGGCTAATTTAAGCCGAGATAGGTACAGCCGAATTCCTGGAATTACTTGATTGAAAACCAAGCGCTATGGCCTGGGTGGTCCTTCTCATGCGAGAAACTAACATTAATTTGCACGTTTTACACACGCCAAGGCCAATCGATACTAATTCCTTATCTTGTTTTCTTTCAGCTCCTAACCCAGACGCAACCATGGACTAGAGCCGTCTGCATGTTGTTAGTGGTGGTGGTAAGAGGAAGCAGAAGGGCTAGCAACCCGAATGGTCCCAAGCTCCTGAAGTCATCCAGTCGGTCATCCAAAACATTTCATTCATGCGTGTAGCCAAAATGACGACTTACCTCCCAAATCATAGCTTGGATTCCACCCTTCGAACCAGTCGTCGTGGTTCATCAAAGCTAATGACTGAGGTAAGATTTTAATCATGTTTTCGATTCCCCCGTTCGATTCATCTAGTTTTGACCAGATGTCCGACGGATCGTCCATACTTCTGGTTTCACACCATCTCCTAAATGATGTCTCTCCTCCAAACCATAGTGGTGATCCCCCGTTTGGTCATCCAAAACGGTTTAAAAACACTTATAATTGAGGTGGGGCTTTTTGCCATAGTTTTAATGCCACTGTTAGGTTTTTCCGATACGGATCGTCCATACTTGTGGCTTCTCGAAGTTATGTCTCCCTTTTTTCACAAGAGGTGGGAACAACCTTTTTTATTGGTAAAATTTACTCAATTGCTCTGTGGATCGTTGCGCTTACCGCTACACTAAAAGCAATCGCTGATAGTGTAGCACGCCCTTCCCCTTTTTATAGAACAGGCAAAGCACCACGCGGTTCGATTGCACCGGCAGGCTGGCAGATTGCTGACCGCAGACCCGCGGCAGGCCCAACAATCTCCCCCCCAGCACCTGCCAGCCTACAACTGAGCAGCATGCTGTTGCCGGGGGTCGAACCCGTGACCTTTGGCTCTGATACCAATTGTGGATCGTTGCGCTTACCGCTACACTAAAAGCAATCGCTGATAGTGTAGCACGCCCTTCCCCTTTTTATAGAACAGGCAAAGCGCCACGCGGTTCGATTGCACCGGCAGGCTGGCAGATTGCTGACCACAGACCCGCGGCAGGCCCAACATGCTCCACATTCCAGGTGCCTACCGATCGGCCCTCTGTTGTCTTGAGCCCAAAAGTAAGTAACTATGAATTTTATCTAATGTCAAATAATTTTTTCTAATGTCAAATAATGTAATCAAAACTTCTATAAATAAATATTATTAATTTTTTGAAGCGATCAAGAAGTGTTGGACCAAATCAAACTCATAGTTGGAGGACACTTTCTTGGGAACTGTGCAACCTACACGGAAGTTGACCCCAAGGTCCGTGAACTTTGGTGGAACCTGTTTAAGGTAAAAATAAATGAATGTTCCATGTGTAATTGTAGTAACTTAAAATTTGACAAATGATAAATTAATTTATTTATTTTTAATAAAGGAATGAAGCACAAGGCCCCGCTATTCTTAGAGCGTATAATGCTAGAGTTTCAAACTGACTTCGTCCCACTTTTAGGCGTGCCTGAGCCAGAGGGGTAAAGCCTGGATGGTGTTCGGATGAGGTGTGGGATAAACTCGTCCGCCACTGGTCTTCGGATCCAAACTTCTTGGCTAGAAGCGAAGCCGGTAAGAAAAATCAGATGTCCCAGAAGGCATTAGAGAGACAATGGCACGGGGGCTGCAAACCTCAGAGTAAACATAAAGAAGCTCTTGTACGTCTTATTCAAATAAACCTTACACCATTTTAACCCTTCATTTTTTACATTTATTTATGAATTTTAAGCCTTTTTTGAACCATGTAGGCGGGGCCTGAGAAGAAGAAGGTCTCGATCCTCAAGGTCATCAAGCACTGTTGGACGAAGCACGACGATGAGTCGGAAGCCGATCTGCCACCCCGCCTCGCTGAAATCGAAGTAGGTAACATCAATATTTTAACTAACATTCGAAATCGAAGTAACATTTTAACAATTTTTGTACATGTAGACGAAGTATAACACAACCGTTGAGAAGAAGCGTCCGGAACGAGGCTTGACCGACGAGGATGAGCTCGATTCTGATGCGGAAGATGATGCGATCGTTGAGGCAGCTGGGGTGTACAAGGATCGGGTTCCGTGCATGGGGGCTGAGGGGCAACGGATTTGGTACGACCGCATCGGCGCTTCATCTTCTCAATCAAGGCGGAGAGAGGATCCACGTATTGCTCAAATGCAGCGAGAATTGGAGTAGCAGCGCGCCTTAAAGGAGCAACGAAAAAAGGATGAAGAAACAAGAGCCCGGCTGGAAGCGATGGAACGGATCCTCAGCGCCGAAATTCGGTCTCAGCCTCAGCCGTATATACTGCACCCTGAGCAGACTCCTTCATTTGGATCTTTTCAGGATGTCCCTTTTCATAACCTGTTTCAAACATCTGGAGGCAGCCAAGAAGGAGGCAGCCGTGGAGGCAGTCGCGGAGGCCAAGGTGGAGGTAGTCGCGGAGGCAACCGAGGAGGCAACCGAGAAGAAGAGACTGAAGATGATTATCTAGATTATGATGAATCTGGATATTATAATAACGGCCGGAGGAGCTTGTAATGATACATTTTTAGTCTGTTTATCATAATTGAACATTGCTTATATCATAATTCTAGTCTGTTTATTAAATGTGTATTCTAGTCTGTTTATTACTTTTATTCCAGTCTGTTAATTCTACGAGTATTTTTTTAAAAAGAAATTTTTTAAAGAAAATTTAAAAGATACTAGTAATTTTTAAATTTCTGTTTTTTTAAACGAATAAAACTTTTTTTTTAAATCAAAAAATTTAGTCACGGATCTGAGCCGTGACTAAATTGTAGACAAGATTTTGCTAAAATTATTTTTAAATTCTTTTAAAAATTTAAAAATGTTTTTTTTAAATAAAAACTATAGTCACGGATACTGTCCGTGACAAAATTTAAAAATTTGAACCCTAAAAATTTGACGGTTTATTCCAAAATTGAAAACTTAGTATAAAATATGTTCGTGACTAATATGTCCGAATTTTAAAAATAAACAAAAATTAGTCACGGAAGAGGTCCATGACTAATATAAAAAAAACAAAAAAAAACTTGGTCACGAATCACGGCCGTGACTAACTAGCCGGCGTGGTTATTCTAGTCACAAATTAGTCACGGACAGTGACTACGCGTAGTCACGGAAAAAATCCTTGACTACCAGAGTTAGTCACGGATTTTTGAAACTACGGTCCGTGACTAGTCATGGACCCGGGACGGGCCCGACAGGGTTTTTTTTTTTTGGGAAGGAAGGCCCGGGACCGGCCCGGGTAGCCACCGGGTCCGGTCCGAGACCGGGCCGGGCCTCCGGTTTGGTCATTTTTGTTTTTTGCTTTCCTAACCCCCCCCCCCTCACCCCCCACCCCCCCCCAAACCCCCCAAACCCCTCCTAACCATCAAGCCCAACCCGGGTGACCCCAAAAAATGAAAAAAAAATCAATTCGGCCCGGGCCCGACCCGGCCGGTTCGCCAAATACAAGGCCCGAGCCCGGACCTGCCCCCCCACCGGGCCTAGGCCCGACCCGGACCCGAGAACCGGGCCAGTTCCGGGCCCGCACAGTAGCGGGCCCGTCCCGGGCCGGGTGGCCCGAACCGGGTCCATGACTATCCGTGACTAAATCCGTGTTTTTTTGTAGTGAAAACAAGAGGAGGCCAACACATAAACAGCCACTACGCCATGATGCAGCAGCTCAAATTTCTATTATTGATCATGAAAGAAGAATACCACTTCATCTTCCCAATCAATTTTGAACTTACCCAGCAGGCCAGTGTTACACCACTACTAACAATTCATGATGTTTCTACAGTGCATATATCAAAACAATTCATTAAGTTTTACAATTAAAATTTACATATGCATACTTGCAGCTCATATCTTCAAAAACATGTATATATATTTGAGCAATGCTCATTTTACGCTAATGAGGCATTATACAATACCTAAAGGCAATGTGCACTTTTGGAGAAGCACGAGGGAAGCAACACATCTCCTTTCTGAGTTTGCAAGCCACGGAAGCATCTCCTTCAATGAATTGCAGGATAACAAGTTTCTCAAGCACAGGTGACTTTGAAAGGATTGCTTTCACAAAGAGAACTTCCCGTTTATATCCAAAAAATGAATCTATGCTCACTGTTTTAAGCATGACAAGATAATGATCAATAATAAAGCCACCATCTACAGGATCTTCCAAAAGACGTGCTCCGTCATCTATCCAACATGACTTGCAACACAATGGAAAGATTGCAGTATTAAAACATATGCATAACAGACTCATGCCACACACCCACATATATTAAAATAATAAGTGCATGGTATGAATGAAACTACATGTGAGAAATGAGAACGCAAATTGATGTACTATTGTTAATGTCAGAGCACTATTATGTTTCGAACAATACACTCGAATAATGCACTATTTGTGATGGCAAAAATGTTCAGTTTATTACATAAATACTGCAGTATTTGTGGTAAATCTTTATATATATATATATATATATATATATATATTGGTACGATCTATTGAGCCATTAGATCTAAAGTTGATTAGTATGCATAGGTTAAGTGTTGGATATTACAACCTGATTCGAGACAATTTCCAGTTTGCATAGCTTGGGACATTTTTTAATCAAATCACTGGCAAAGGAGAAGTGCTGGGCAGAACCAAAACTGAAATCATCCAGCTTCATCACTTGTAGATTTATCGCCGTTGGGAACATCTCTTGCAGATCCAATGCAGCATCAGGTATATCCTTTATTATAGTTTTTTAAGGGTTAGACTCAAAGCAATAACTCTTGCAAGACTGAAGTTTAAAATCAGAAGACAGGTCAATGCTATTCACAATAAAAGATTAGAAACGATGAAGCACTTTATGAAAGAAAATACTCACCGCAAGTGCATCTAGAGACAGACAAAGGCTCTTAATTACTGGAAAATGAAGCTGAAACCATTTCCATTCAGCAATGTGCCCAGGGAAGATAACAGTCAAGCTTTTGAGTTTCGGAGCACTGATCACAAAATTATGGATCCCTTGACAATCCTCGAAGACCAGCTCCTCAAGATTAGGAACACTGAATATAGTACTTCCATTGACATTATGGATAAAGCCAACAGTCACAAAAACTAGAGATGTGACATGAGTAAATATACTACCAAGGCGAGCATTGAAAGGGCAGTAAAACAGAAAACCATCAAGTTTCAGTCGCTTAAGTGTGGAACAGGAGATTATACAATGTGGTAGCTCATAATACCCTTGGCCAGTCAAATTCACAACACAGATGGTAAGTTGCTCAATTCCATTTCTTGATAGGAAAAGACACCATCCATCTACATCAGACTGCTTTGGCTTACACCAACTCACAGCCATTTCCATCTCAACATTCTCAAGATATAACCTAGTCATCAAAAACTCAAATTTCCTAACAGGTCCTGAACGAAGCATAAGAACGTTCGTTACCATGTTGACGAAAGTCGAGGGTTTATTACATCTGCACCTGTCTATTGCACGCGGAAAGAAGCAGGAATCAAAGACAAGCCGGCCATGTCTCAACCATATATCCTTCCATTGAGTTGAGAGCACAGCTACTCTGGCAGCATCACGAGTGTCCATACACTCCATAATCATGTCCTTTACATCTGCTGGAAGTTGGCTAATTCTATCCCCATCCAATTCAGTTCCGCTCGGAAGAAAAGTAGCCATTAGAACAAAATTCTAAAAACAGCTCTTTCTTAGCTGGACAGAGGAAGTAGCTAATAGCAACAGACTAGAGTCCCGTTAACACTGAAATTGGCCACCAGAGAGAAGCTATTCTTTCAATCCAACGAGCAGCGGTTGGAAAGAAATGCCCGACAGGTAAAATGGCAGCGAAACCAGACGTTAGCGTCGCACAGGAAAGAAGAGAGGAGAATGATAGAGATACATGGGAGCGCGCAGATAGAGTGAATGAAAATGGAGAAGTAAGGCGAAAGGAGGCGCGGGAGATAGAGCAGCAGGGTGAAGGCACAGAGCTTAGAGCTCTCGGCAATGGACTAGGGTAACAACGGGAAGCAACGGGGAATTCAGATTTGGACATACGGAGACGGTGGAATGTGGGTGGGACAAAAAAGTATAAGAAATAAATAAATACTTTAATATGACCAAAATAAAGATGGTTTACAAAAATATGATTAGTTACTAGAGTAGTAATGAAATCATAGTAATTCATTTTCAAGTTCTAAACTTAAGTTACTAGAACACTACGTTGTAGTAATGAATAGTCATATTTATGTAAATAAGTTTTATTTTAGTAATATGGTTGTAAAAACCCCTTTGGAATTTGAAAACGTTTTTACTCCTATTTAGAGAATTCTCTCTTTGATGATTTGTCAGGCTGGTTGGATGGAAATGAATGTTGGTGTACACAGACATTAGTTGTCTGTGTAGACAAAAAAGTATCGGTGTGAACAAATTAGATTTGCAGATTTGTCAGAGTGGTTGCACGGAAACCAATGTCGGTTAACACAGACATTAGTTTTCTGTGTAGGAAAAAAGTATCTATACATATACGATTTCGTCTGTGTACACAGAAACCAGTGTCGGTGTTCATACGTGTTTTCTCTATGGCGAAAGTTCATAGATTGTCACTAGTTTTTTCTTTTCATCTTTCATTTCAAACAATATTTATCATAATTTAGCACCATATAAATAAAAATCCAGACGCCTCTGATACTTCGGTGAGTTTTCGGCACATTTCTGGTGAAAATGGTGATGGAAGATGATGATGAAGATGACGAAGGTGAATAAAACGTAAAAAGAAAAAAAAAGAGTGAAGGAAGAAGATGAAGAAGAAAGAAAGAAAGAAAGAAAGAAAGAAAGAAAGAAAGAAAGAAAGAAAGAAAGAAAGAAAGAAAGAAAGAAAGAAAGAAAGAAAGAAAGAAAGAAAGAAGAGAGGAAGTGGAAGTGCGTATGAATCAAGAGGGGGGGATGGAGAGAGAAAAGAGTGAGGAGGGAGGGAGGAAAAAGTGGGGAGGGAGTGAGGGAGAGTGAATTACCTGAATACTCCGGTATGATTTTTTAAGTAAAGAGGCAAGAAAAATACTCGAAATCCCATTTTCTTTGTTCTGTTTTTATGTTTGATTGCAATGGCGGGGGCTTAGAACATGATGAATGACCGTGAGGAACAACGAATTCGAGTTCATATGGGGGGAGGATCTAGGATTTTAAGTAAGGACAAAACTTTTTTTTGTTAGTGTATGAGGCAAAATTTATTTCGCTAGTGTAGTTGTGTAGTGAGATGATTTTTTGATAGTGTTGGGTTCTACGGTTAGTTTTTTATTCAAAAAATTTCACACGGTGACATTTAGGATGTTTTTACTTGGACTGTAATTCGTCCCAGACCAGACCTGGATAGTTAAAAAAATACAAAGAAACCAGACCAGACCAGACCATCAAATTACAATCCAAGTAAAAACATCCTTAAATCTATTACAATTTATGTTTAGGCAGTTGAAAAATACTTTTATTTTATATTTGAAGTACTCTAGGAAAAAATATTGATACTTTAAAGAGTAAGGAATGGAAAATAAAAAAAATGATTTCAAAGTAAATTGGATATATAACATTTTATCAAAATAATTGAAGATAAAGAGTCTTAAAGGTACACACGTTCACCAATACTTTTTAAATAACTCCTGCCTTGTTTAATCACATGAAACTTATCGGAATAAAGAATTGATTTCTGAATTGCAATGTTTGTCTACAAAAGAGGGTATTCGTGAGTCACGAGAGGTGTTCTTAATATTCCAATAATATGCATGAGAATCATAAATTGGAATTGTAATTGGAATTGTAAAATTGATACCTTAAATTCAATATGCACATCATAAAACACGGCTAAACATTATTTTCTTGTTGCTTGTCCTTATCCACAAATACTTAAAAGGGCTTTTGCCTGTTATGTGTTCCACTCTATTTGTTAGAAAGGATACTTTCAGTAATGCCTATTGGCTAGCTGGTTATAGTGGTAACAGAAATCTAAGAGGTTATGTGTTCCACTCTATTTGTTAGAAAGGATACTTTCAGTAATGCCTATTGGCTAGCTGGTTATAGTGGTAACAGAAATCTAAGAGTCAAATAGTTGTTAATTTTTGTGGTTAGGAATGTGTTACCTACAAACCCTCTATGAGCTGACTATGAGTTCTTTTCTCCTTGATATGCTCAGTATCTCCTCCTCCCCCCAACCCCCCCCCCCCCAAAAAAAAAAAAGAATCTGGATCAAGTAAGGTGCTACTTTTATTTTGTCAACTAAATTATTACAGAAGCTTTTAAAAGTATCTCCGAAACTTGACCCAAAATTATTTGGTGTAATTTACTTAAACTACTTGCCGCTTGGCTTCACATCTTTGTTAATGGCTTATTTTCTAAGTGCCTGACCATCTGTCTGTTTACCTCTGTTATCCCCTTTTTGTTGCTAAAATAGGTGTTGATGTGAAGAATGTCATCATTACTATTTCTTCAGACAAAGGTCTTTGTGGAGGAACCAATTCTACATCTGTCAAGACAAGACGAAATATTCAAAATTAAAATTCCGGTAAAGCCTCGAGCTCTTGTTCATGAGTGTGCTTGCCCCAATTGGAATTAAGTTGCCCAGTATTTTCTGTACAATGACCAGATCCTGAGAAGGAAAACAAATACTACGTATGTATTTGGGAGAGAAGGCAAAGGCTCAGCTGTTGCGAGATTCTAAGAAAGATATTGAATTGGTTGTGTCTGAGTTGCAAAAGAACCCTCCCAACTATACACAGGTTGTGCTTATGTTTCATCCGCCACCCACTCACTTTGACTTTAATGAAGCAACTTTGTAACAAGCCCAACTTCATTCTTCTTTGTAATTGCTATACACGATATGTTTTCATTTTATACTAACACTAGTTTTATTTGGCAAGGGTGGAAAATCATATCCATTTTTTATGCATCAATATTATTGCACTTAGGAGTTGAGGTGCAGTTTTAAAATCTTAATACAAGATGGAATTTTCGAATGAGGATTTGGTTATCTAATGCTAAAGCTAGTGATTAACCTGCCTACATATATGAGATTAGAATTAGAATATAGATGTTTGTGTGGGTAAATGCAGTATCACCTGAATATCAAGTAACACTTGCTTCTTTCTTCTCGTTTTATATATTTCATTTTCCTTGCAATGATATTGATTCTTTCTAAAATTCTGGAGTACACACATTTTTTTGTTATGTCCAAAGCATTAGACTTCTCTTTAAAAGCATATGACAAGTGCTACCCATAACCCATAGAGCCGTCAGCAGAGAGCCTACTTGCCTACTGGGGCAATGCGACGTCAGCAGAGAGCCTGGGGTGTAACATGGAGGGAATATTTATATTTTACTGTGGATTGTTTTTAAGACTACAAAGCAATTAGAACAAAACTAATTTGAATATTGAGTTTATTATGTAGAATCAATAACTAATTGTTTTATAACATTCTTATTCTTGTGAGAACTTGAAATGTTTAATCAATTTAAACAAAACTAAATGCTAATGAAAACCCAAACACATTTATATTTACACTTATGTTTAATATTCACATGGATATTTACGCTAATGTTTTACGCTTTAATCATATGCTTACGCTTAATAGTCAACCAGAAGAATCATTTTTTTTAAGAAATTGGTCTGCCCTAAGCTTCTCAAAAACTGCTTTTGGGGAGCCGTCAGAAGCAATTCATATTGCTTCACCCAAAACACTCGCCAATATGCTTTTGCTCATTGAAGGAGCAAAAACAGTTTTAAAAGTAAGATAAAAAAAACGCCTTCAGTGAATTCCTTTGCTGAGTTATGGAGCAAACATGTGAAATTACTACAAAGAAATGCCCACAATTATCTTCAGTTACCATAGTTTATAGATAGCCGTGCTTGGTCATTGTTGTGTTATATTGTGGTTCTGGCCTTCTGTGCAATAACTCTTTTCTTAAAACTGAACACTTTCAGCAAAACCATGGAACCAAAGAAGAGCTTCCTATGAACACTACGGAAAATGGCATTGCTGCATTGCCATCTTATTATAGGGCTCATAGGTTCTGCTTTTCACAACTATCCACAATGCAACCTATTTTTCCTAGTAGGTTAATTGCAACCATGGCAACCTTAGGGCATACTATTTCCCGAGATGCTTCAAGTCCTGACTGTCAAGCAACTCCACGTATCAAATATAAGAGGCTCGATAAGACAGCAAAACACATAATGCAGGTATCGAATTATTAACCAATCATGTGATGGGGTTCTCTACTTTCATCTTTTCTTATTTTTACCCCCCTCCATATGTTATCTAAATAAAATCTGCGACTATCTGCGTCTCTGGATGGTGTATTTGGAGCCTTGGCGTTGCAGATTTTGGACAAAGAAGCAGGTTAAGAAGTGAAGACTCAAAGAGAGATACCTAATATAAGTCCTGGCTATACTTTGCAGCTCAAAGTGGTAAACGTTGTTTATTTCCTTGTCCAATAAATTATGATAAAGAATTGAAGATGATCTTTTGTACATTATTCTACTGCTCTTAAAAGAACCACAATCAATAAATTGGTATACTCGTGCTTGTATATCAGGAAGTACCCGAAAATAAGAGGCGTCTTTCAAAAATCAAAGGAACAGTAATAGCGAGGCGCAATGCTGGTTTGAATAATACATTCAGATTAAGGAAACTGCTGATACTTGTAGTGCATGTGGGCATGTGGTATTGACGCTGAAAAATTGTTTCCAGGTGGCGGCAAAAAAAATTTGTTGGAGTGTTTATTTGTGGCCTTTGAGGCTTTGAGAGGAGGATTGCTGCAAATTTATTGTGGTGTTATGGGGGGGTGGTATGGGGGTGGAAGAGGAGGAATGATGAAGTATAGAGAAGAGGAAAGGAAGAATAATATAATCTCTTTTCCTGAACAACTGTTAATATATTTTTCTCCATTTAATAACAGTTTGAACATTAATCTCTCTTTAGTCCTATAGTCCTATACAAAGAAACGCATGATGCAGTAGCTCAAATAAAAGGACATCAAAGTAACTGGTCAAAACTAGAGGCAAACACGTAAATAGCCACTATGCCATGATGCAGTAGCTCAAATTTCTATATTGTTCATGAAAACAAATACCACTTTATCTTACTAACAATTTCCAACTTATCCAGTCGGCAGGTGTTACGCCACTACTAACAATTCATGATGTTTCTACACTGCATATATCGACAAAATTCATTATGTTTTACAATTAAAACTTGAAGAATAATAAATAAATCCATAAATTTACATATGCATACTTGCGCGTTTTTTTTCAAAATTTTAAATGTTCATTCTGCCACTGGATGTTGCTCGTAGCTTTAAAAACATGTATATATGTTTGAGCAAGCTCATTTTACGCTAATGAGGCATTACATATAATTAATGACAATGCGCACTTTTGAAGAAGCGCGAGGGAAGCAGTGCATCTCATTTCTGAATTTTGAAGCCACTGAGTCAACTCTTTTGGCTGATTGCCGGATAACAAGTTCCTCAAGCACAGGTGACTTTGAAAGGATTGCTTTCACAAAGAGCTCTTCCCGTTTATATCCAAAAAATGAATCTATGATCACTGTTTTAAGCATGTCCAGATCATGATCAATAATAAAGCCACCATCTAAAGGATCCTCCCAAAGACTTGGTCTCTCATCTACCCAACATACCTTGCATCACAATGGAAAGAATGCAGTATTAAAACATAAGCATAACAGACTCATGCCACACACAGATATACGAAGTATTAAAATAGTAAGTGCATGGTGAGAATGATACTACTTTGAGAAATGAGAATCATGCAAAATGATGTACTATTGTTAATGTTAGAGCACTATTATGTTTCAAACAGTACACTATTATGTTTCGAGTAGTGCACTATTTGTGATGGAAAAAAAGTTTAGTTGATTACAAAAATACTGCAGTATTTGTGGTAAACCTTTATATATTGGTACGATCTGTTGAGCCATTAAATCTAAAATCCAATGCTCCAGATTCATTCTTAAAAGATCATATTCTTGTGATCCAAAGTCGATTAGCATGCATAGGTTAAGTGTTGGATATTACAACCTGATTTGAAATAATTTCCAGTTTGCATAGCTTGGGACATTTTTTAATCATTTCACTGGCAAAGGAGAAGTGTTGGGCGGAACCAAAACAGAACTCATCCAGCTTCATCGCTTGTAGATTTATCGCAGTTGGGAACATCTCTTGCACATTCAGTGCAGTATCAGGTATATCCTTTATTACAGTTTTTTAAAGGTTAGCCTCAAAGCAATAACTCTAGCAAGACTGAAGCTTAAAACCAGAAGGTGGGTCAATGCTATTCACAATAAAAGATTACAAATGATGAAGCATTTTATGAAAGAAAATGTACTCACTGAAAGTGGATCTGAAAGAGTATCTAGAGACAGGGAAAGGCTCTTAGTTACTGGAAAATGAAGCTGAAACCATTTCCATTCAGCAACATACCCAGAGAAAACAGTCAAGCTTTTAAGTTTTGGAGCACTGATCATAAAATTATGGATCCCTTGACAGGCCTCGAAAACCAGCTCCTCAAGATTAGGAACAATGGATATAGTGCTTCCATGGACAATATGGATAAAGACGACACCCACAAAAACTAGAGATGTGACATTAGTAAATATACTACTGAGTCGAGCATTAACAGAGCAGTAGAAAAGAAAACCAGCTAGTTTCAGTCGCTTAAGTGTGGAACAGGAGATTATACAATGTGGAAGGTTATAATACCCTTCGTCAGTCAAATTCACAACACTTATGGTAAGTTGCTCGATTCCAATTCTTGATAGGATAAGACACCATTGATCTACATCAGACTGCTTTGGCTTACACCAACTATCCCTAACATCCACAGCAGCATTCACGAACTCAAATTTCCTAACAGGTCCTGAACGAAGCATAAGAGTGTTCGTTACCATGTTGACGAAAGTCGAGGGTTTACGTCGAAAGAAGCAGGAATCAAAGACAAGGCAACCATGTCTCAACCAAACATCCTTCCATTGAGTTGAGAGCACACCTACTCTGGCAGCATCACGAGTGTCCAAACACTCCATAATCATGTCCTTTACATCTGCTGGAAGTTGACTAATTCTATCCCCATCCAATTCATTTTCGCTCGGAAGAAATGCAGCCATTAGAACCAAAGCAGCTCTTTCTTAGCTAGACAAAGGAAGTAGCTTCAGACTGGAGTCCGGTTAACCATGAAATTGGCCAACAGAGAGAAGATACTCTTACAACCCAACGAGCAGCGGTTGGATAGAAAGGTCCGCCAGGTAAAACGGCAGCGAAACCAGGCGAAAAAGACAATGGACTGGCTTAACAAAGAGATACGGAGTGAACTTTACCATTGAAACCCGAGAGAAAGTAGCAAATAGCCAAATGGCAAAGGACTGGCTTAGCTTTCTTTTGGGGTTAATGGGCAGTGTCTATTTATGAGAAAGATCGTTTTCTGCCCAAAGATTTTTCGTAGAGCGTTCACGGTTAGATTAAGAAAGATTTATGAGAAAGATCGTTTTCTGACTAAGAAAGATTAAATGTTTTCAATTTATTAGGTTTATCAGTCACCTTTTTAATCATACATGTATTTTTTATTTCGCGTGTTGAAAAATGTAATAATAAAAAAAGTAAGATTAAAGTTACTTTTGGATCTGATTATATTGGTTGAAGTTGCTATAAACGATCATTTTAACTATTTTTTCACAGTCTTTATTTTTTTAATAAAATATACGAAGTATTTTTAATACTACCTCCGTCCCATATTTAACTTCAATTTATGATTTACGATGTTTGACTAACGATAAAGTAACTTGATCTCTATTCACACTCGAATTATTTTTATTAAATAAAATTTACATATTCAGAAACTACGTTAAAACCGCTACAAAGTCTGATAAAAAAATTTAAATTTGATAAAAATTTGATATATAAGGTAAAGGATTAAAAGTAATTTGAGTTGACAGTGTGAGTAAATAGGAAGATAATTTAGGACGGAGGGAGTATAATTTTTTCATAAACCAACAGAATCAACCAATACAACCACTTCAGCCTAGGGGTGGACTGGGTCTGGATCGGGTTGGGGCGAGCTTCGGGTCCACAATATTGAGACCCAGTACCGCCCCAGGACCGGGCCGAGCCGGGTCCATTTTTTTGGATCTTTTGGAATTAATTCCATCCCCCGCCTCCCCATCCCCAAACCGCCCAACTCAACCCATCTAGTAGTCAGCCCAATGCCAAAAAGTTAAAAAAAAAAACCGGGCCGGCCGGGTCGATTAACCTATTCTTAAGCTCGTAGCCCGCCCCAATATCCACCGTTTGGGCCCCCAGTCCCGGTCCCAATTCACCGGGCTGGGTCGGGCCTTACACAAGTGGTGGGCCAGGCCGTGTCCCGGTTCGGCGGTTCCGGCTGACCCGTCCAAGTCCACCCATATTATGTCAGATTTTCGGTAGAGTTTATTTTCACAGTAAATAAAGTAAATCAATTTTGTTAATTAAATTACTCCATACTCCCGGTATTCGAAATCTGATAAGTTCATATTTCAACACGCATTTAATGCATGTTGGGGTCGGTTTTTGATGGTTTCCCTAGCTTTAAGGTGTCATAAGTCTCAATTTTAGCTCAAATTATGTTTATCGGGTGTTGGTTCGAGTTTTGTATTGTTTGGAGGTCAAAATCAGGGAATTAGAGCTTGACACCGACGCTTGAGAAACAATCGGGATGAATTGATGAGCATTCGAAAGTGATGAAAGATCTAGCCATCTGCAATTCCATTCTCCTAAGTCCCAAAAATAAACCGCAAACACCGAAACATCTATTCCCTCCATATTCCCAATTCCTAGTGCGCACTGACTCACTGAAGTTGAGAGGGAATAAGCAACAAGGATATGTGGTAGGATTAATTATTAAAGCGAGTTAAAAATATTGAGATATTGATTCAGGTAATTTATTAAGTAATTTTGTACATTGATATTCTATAAATTATAAATACTCGAAGTATTTTTGTTTGTATGTAGTTAGTATAATTTTGAAGTAATTTTTACTTGTTTGATGGTAGTAGACTAGTAGAAATGTATATATTTTATTTATTTATAAGATTGTTAGTAATAATTTTATTTGTAAATAAACTATAGCTTCTCCGTTGACTCATTTGTTTGTGATTTTTTAATAAGTATATACAAACTCCGTGTTAGGTTTTGTCATTACGGGCAAACCAAAGATTTATGGTATAAAAAAAGAGGAAACTGAGAAGAGTTTTGGGTATAAAATCGCTCATCGTTATTGGCAATGATAAACATTCTTTATTAGAATGAGAATAATTATTAAAACGAGAATATTAATAATGAAAGTGACCACCTAATGTTTGTTGAATTGAATGAGTTAAAATATTTTTTTTCATTTCTAATGACTTTTTTATTATAGAAAATACATTGATATAATTTACTAATATTGATTGATTTTTGGCCTAGGGCCTCTAAAGTGCTCAAGCCGTCCCTGGCTACTGATCTTCCTATCCACCTCCATCACCAGAGTTCACCACCGTAGTCCTCGGACTGTTCCACCACCAATAAAATGACTTTGGTTATGCAAGAGAACTAGGGACAATTAATTATATCAATTAATTAAATTAGGGATAAAAATGCACTATTTAGTATTATTTAAGGTACCAAAATGCAACATTACTAATAATTGAGGTATCATTTATGCAATTAACCCAGCCACAATAACTTTAATAGACCAATTCTCAAACATTGGGTCAAGGCACATGGTAATTCAATCAAAATTAATTTTGCTTTTCGATCGATTATTACCAACAGTTTGGGGTGCACTGCTGCTCTCATTCGTGACAGCAGATGCACCGATATTTCCCACCATACCAATTAAGTTTGATAGGAATAATCACTGTAATAAGGCTTTATATGATGCGATTATTGATATTATACCTCATTTGCAGAAACTTAATCTATCAAACGTTGTCCTTGAGACGGAAAATCAAGAAATCTTTGAAGGTATCACTGGGCAAAAGCTCCAGCATTGGGAAGTTTGGTCGAGGATTCGTACAGTAAAAGCAAAAATCAGATACTTTGATTGGACCATTACCATCATCAACCCCCGAATCAACAAGGCTGCGGAGTATTTGGCTTATCATAGCAACCTGATTAAAACATTACTCATCATTTTAATCAATTTGTTTACATAATTAAATTTGATGCAATTAGTTATCCTTATGTTCTTTAATGTTTGAGAACTTTGAGTAGGATTGGTCTAGTCCTACTGTTTCTGCTTTTTCATTTATCAAATAAATAGGTGAGGTGTTCCCTGGCCCTCACACCATAACCTCTTGGTTTTGGATTACCACGAGGTCAAAAAAATATCTATGGTCTCTTACATTTTTTATTTAAAAAAAAAGAATATTTGAAGCCATCTTCATTTAGGGTGGACATGGTCTGGGGCTCTGGGCTTGGAACGCAAATGGATGAGAACAAACAATATTTTCACTTTTACTGAAATTTTATGGTCCTGTGTGTTTAGGTTTGGTAAATGTATGTCATATGTGTATTTTCCAATTGTCTAAGCTTTGGTTTGATTATAGGTCTTAGTTTGGTTTGTTCAAATCTAATTTATTTTAAGACGGGAACAAGTGAAACGTCCTATTTGTTTTTACGTGAAACTATCCCGAAATTTCAGTCTAGAATTAGCACCAGTAAAATCCCGATCTATTTTCTATTACTCCCAAAATTGTCTCAACACCTAAGGTGACCCCAAAAGTCAAATAAATTGTAATTCGTCCTGGTTAAGGTTGAAATTTAAGGGACTTGAGGTGGAATCAGTCAGGAAATGGACTGTCACCATTTGATAGTGTCAAAAATTATTAAAATACCATTTCAAGATACTCTCGAGATAATTCTGCATCATTCATGTTCATGCATCCCCAGAAGAATCGATCAATTCAGAAAAGAATTCAGTTTAGGATCCCTTTTTAGCTGAATTGGATGATCTTATTGAGCATGACAATTTTAACTTTTTTTCACATGAATTGTTCCTTATGTACTTTAAATTTAATTTTTTCTAGCAGCTTATGTGGAGGTTTGCAATTCCCAAAAAATTGAGATAAAGGAGAGTGGAAACTGGTGATACTTGTAGTGCATGTGGGCATAATGGCATATGGGCTCTAGCATGGATGATTGGATGCTGAAAAATTGTTTCATCTGTTGTGTGACAGTAAAACTTGCTCGTTTCCAGCCTTCCAGGTGGTGGCAGATTATTTTTATGAGTGAAGTGTTTATTTGTGGCCTTGGAGAGGAGGATTGCTGCAAATTTATTGTGGTGTTATGGGGGGTGGGATGGGGGTGGAAGGGGAGGAATGATGAAGTATGGAGAAGAGGAAAGGAGGAATATTACCGGTGGGCGTAGCTCAACTGGTAGCGAGGGAGTGCCACAAGGGTTAGGTCCCGGGTTCGAATCTCGGCAACTGCGATAAGGGGTTACTATGCTGAAAAATACATAGGGCCTCTGCAAGTACCGAGGACAGAGCCCCACTCTCTATCTGATTATAGTCCAACTTACATCCTCCCATCGTGCTGTCCGGTCGATGTTGGAGGGCCCTCAGGGATGGGGTGTCATCCTTTTTTTTTAGGAAAGGAGGAATATTATAATCTCTCTTCCTGAACTTCTGTTCATATATTTTTCTCCCTTTCGTAACAGTTGAATATAATTTTGGTTGAGAAGCCTAAAAATCTCTTACTCTTTAGTCTATTAGTCTAGAAGGTGAACTGCGCCGGGTTTGGGCTGGTCCACCATATTTTGACCCAGTAGCCCGGCTGTTGCTTCCCGGGGTCGGATCGATCTGAACAGTTCCAGGCCGGACCGGGTCCCAAGTCAAACCGACCCATTCCAGATTTCCAGTCCATCCATACATTAGTCTATAGTCTATAGTCTATAGTCTCTATACAATGAAATGCTTATGCATGCTGCGTTAATTGACCCAAATAAACAGATGCCAATGTAACTGGTCAAAACTAGAAGAGTCAACCACATAAACATCCACATAAACTTGTCAGTGTTACACAACTACTAACAATTCATGATGTTTCTACAATTAAAAACTTGAAGAATAATAAATACACTAAATTTGCATACTTGTGTGTTTTTAAAAAAAGTTAGATGTTCATTCTGCCACTGGGTGCTGCTCGTAGTTTAAAAAACATGTACTAGTATGTATATTTGAGCAATGCTCATTTTACGCTAATGAGGCATTACATATAATTAATGACAATGCACACTTTTGAAGAAGCGCGAGGGAAGCAGTGCATCTCATTTCTGAATTCGGAAGCCACTGAGTCACCTCTTTTGGCTGATTGCCGGATAACAAGTTCCTCAAGCACAGGTGACTTTGAAAGGATTGCTTTCACAAAGATCTCTTCCCGTTTATATCCAAAAAATGAATCTATGCTAACTTTTTTAAGCATGTCCAGATCATGATCAATAATAAAGCCACCATCTACGGGATCCTCCCACAGACTTGCACCGTCATCTATCCAACATGCCTGGCAACACAATGGAAAGAATGCAGTATTAAAACACACGCATATTAGACTCATGCCACACACGAATATATTAAAATTGTTAGTCCATGTTGAGAATGATACTACTTGTGAGAAATGAGAATCATGCAAAATGATGTACTATTGTTAAAGTCCGAGCACTTTTATGTTTCAAATAGTACCCTATTTGTGATGGCAAAAAAGTTTTTTTGATTACAAAAATACTGCAGTATTTGTGTAAACCTTTGTATATTGGTACGGTCTGTTGAGCCATTAAATCTAAACTCCAATGCTCCAGATTCAATCTTAAAAGATCATATTCTTATGATCTAAAGTCGATTAGTATGCATAGGTTAAGTGTTGGATATAACTACCAGATTTGAGATGATTTCCAGTTTGCATAGCTTGGGACATTTTTTAATCATTTCACTGGCAATGAAAAAGTGCTGGGCAGAACCAAAACTGAAATCATCCAGCTTCATCGCTTGTAGATTTATTGCAGTTGGGATCATCTCTGGCAGATTCAATGCAGCATCACATATGTCCTTTATTACAGTTTTGTTAAAGGTTAGCCTTTGAGCAATAACTCTAGCAAGACCGAAGCTTAAAAGAAGAAGGTGGGTCAATGCTATTCACAATAAAAGATTAGAAATGATGAAGCATTTTATGAAAGAAAATATACTCACTGAAAGTACATCTACAGACAGGGAAAGACTCTTAGTTACTGGAAAATGAAGTTGAAACCATTTCCATTCAGCAATGTGCCTAGAGAAGGAAACAGTCAAGCTTTTAAGTTTAGGAGCACTGATCACAAAATTATGGATCCCTTGACACGCCTGGAAGACCAGCTCCTCAAGATTAGGAACAATGGTTATAGTACTTCCATTGACAGTATGGATAAAGACAACACCCACAAAAACTAGAGATGTGACATGAGTAAATATACTACTGAGTCCAGCAGTAACAGGGTAGTCTAAAAGAAAACCAGCTAGTTTCAGTCGCTTAAGTGTGGAACATGAGATTATACAATGTGGCAGGTTATAACACCCTTCTTCAGTCAAATTCGTAACACATATGCTAAGTTGCTCAATTCCATTTCTTGATAAGAAAAGACACCATTGATCTACATCAGACTGCTTTGGCTTACACCAACGATCCCTAACATCCACAGCAGCATACAAAAACTCAAATTTCTTAACAGGTGCTGAACGAAGCATAAGAATGTTCGTTACCATGTTGATGAAAGTCGAGGGTTTACGTCTACGTCGAAAGTAGCGGTAATTGAAGACAAGCCGGCCATGTCTCAACCAAACATCCTTCCATTGAGTTGAGAGCACAGCTACTCTGGCAGCATCACGAGTGTCCAAACACTCCATAATCAAGTCCTTTACATCTGCGGGAAGTTGGCTAATTCTATCCCCATCCATCTCAGTTTTGCTCGGGTGAAATGTAGCCATTAGAACGAAAGCATCTCTTTCTTAGCTGGACAGAGGAAGTAGCTTCAGACTGGAGCCCGGTTAACAATGAAATTGGCTAAGAGAGAGAAGCTACTCTTTCAACCCAACGAGCACATGAGGACAACGGACTGGCTTAGATTTTTCGTAGAGCGTGCATAGTTAAAATTGAATAAGGGAGTGTTTGTAACTGCTTAAAAAAAATAGTTCTCAACTTTTGGCTTTAAAAAACATTTATTTTCCAAACACTACTAATTTTTACTTTTTCTCGGCTTGCGTGTCAAAAGTATTTTTTCTTTTTCTATTACACGAAAAGCATTTATTTTACCAAACACTACCAACTTTTTACTTTTCAAAATCACTTTTTTCTCAAACACTATCAATTTTTACTACTAATCATTTTTTCCTTACATCTTCAAATGCTTTTTTTAAGCAGAAGCAATTGCAAACACTCCTTAAGACTAAACTTGTGAGATTTATTTTTCATCTTGTCACGCGTATGGATAACTTTTTAATTAAACTTCTACTACATCCGTTTCCTTAAGTTTAGGAGTTTAGGAGAATGGGATGTAATGCGGTTTTTAAGAAAAAATAGAATTGTGTGATTGTTATTGAATTGATAAAGTGTGAATAAAGTAAGAATGAATGCTAACCACTCAAACATTACCTAATACGTAGTATTTCGTATGGTATGAGACAAACTTAATGGGACGACGAAAAAGGTAAAAACGAGACAAACTTAGGGGAACGATTGGAGTAATTTTTTATTTATCGTGCTGCATTGTGTAATAATTAAAAAACAATAACTTTATACTCCGTAGTTACTTTTCAATGTAGTTGTATTGGTTCAAATTACCGTAGACAAATATTTTAGTTATTTTTCATATAATTTTTCTTTAATTTATTAATACAATATACTATTAATATAATTTTTTTATAAATAAGTAAAATCAGCCTATACAATAACTTTGGCCAGAACTTCATAAATTTTAGCAAAATCAATCGATTTCAATATTATCAAATAGACTCTAAATAACATATTTTCAATAGAGTTTATTTTCACATCAAATAAAGTAAGTGAATGTTTGCAAGGGATTAAGAAAAACAATTTCTAGCTTTTTGCTTAAAAAATCTTGAAATTGGTGTTTCCAAACACTTTAGGGATACTTATTCACCTCAACCCCGAAACACCCCTCTGATCCCATCACCCCTCATCTATGTCGTCGCATCAATTCTATTCTTCTTTGTAACATGCTACTCTCTACATTCAATCTTTTATTGTGATTAAACAGATGATTAATTGCTTCCTTACGGACTGGAGTATTCAATCTTTCTGCACTTCAAGCATGCCCCGTCGGTCAAACTCGCAGGGGCGGAGCCCAAACACTGGGCCAGACTGGGCCGGTACAAAGAATATTTTTGAAAAAAAAAATTACATAAAATTTTTTACACTAAAAGTAAAAGCATTTTTAAAATTTCTGGCGGGGCCAGGGCCAGGTCTGGCCCACCCCTAGCTACGCCCCTGGGTCAAAGCATATACGGAGTAAATGATACAACTCCGTCCCCCTAAGTTTGGGACAAGAGAAAGTGACATGATTATTAATAAAAATGAATATATGTGGTTGATAACTAATTGATAAAGTAAGAATAGAGTATGAATGATTTAGAACCACACAAACTTTACCAAATAGGGTATGAGACAATCTTAATGTGACAGACCGAAAAGGTAAAATGGAACAATCATAGCGGGACGGAGGGAGTACTACCTAAATTGATCTCCACTCGCGACTATCTAAACTTCGTACATGACATATTGGAGGTGGGATAGTTTAAAGATTGAACACCGTTTATCTGTTGTTGGAGGTGGGATATTGTAACGCCCATAGCCCCATACTTTTTGATCGAGCTCGTTTGCTAGAACGATAATAGACTGTTTTGGCTGACGCCTGTGGCGGATCCAGGAAATAGAACTATAGGGGACAGAAATATAATGAAATATCCGAATAGCGATTTAAACATGCGTAAGCAAAAGTTACGTGTTTGGTGAAAAAGTTGATTGATAAGCTAAAAATCAGTGTTGTTAAACGGCCTCTTTATCTACTTTTGTGTGCTAATTAATTATATATGATCATGTTTTAAGTTATGGTTTGAGTGATATGTATGTGAAGTGTAGGGATATGATGTGATTATGAACTTTGTGATAATTGTATTTGAACTTGTATACTTGTGATATGTTTGATCATGACAGGTGACAGTACCTGATGAACAGCGAAACTACATCGTAATAATCATGTTTATTTCGGAACGAATGTTTGAAGATCCGAAGAACGAAGGTTCAAAGATCCGAAGAATGTTCTAATATTTGAAGAATTAAAGATTTAATTTTTTAATTAAATTTTTTAATTATATTCATATCAAATTGCAAGTGAAGAATCAGAGGATTCATATTTAGAGATTGTACCAAATATTCTCATATATTATTATTATTATTTGTGATCAATTTTAAATAAATACTTAAAATTTGTTTCTGTATATAGGTAGTACACTACTACGTACAATATACATGGTATATAAGTGTTGAAGTTTATTCCCGAAGATCCGAAAGCCCAACACAAGCCTTGGATATTGTAGGGATCTGGGGTAGGGTTGAAAATGTGTATAAAATATAAAACAGTGAGCTAATATCCAACTCAAGAACTTACTTATATTCAGTAATTAAGCAATTACACTGAAACTACCCGAACGGTAGATGAATATGGGATTACAAGGATGGGAGATGTAAATCTATTGCTTAAGCTCTGAGTGTTAAAATGCTCACCCTTTACAATGATCTAAACATGGGTATTTATACTAAAATAGAAATGGGTGAGGTGGACACGTGGTCAAATCCGGTAGGCTGTCACTTCTGCCATGTATACACCCATGCCTCCACTTGCTGTCGTCATGATCCAGCATTAAATGCGGCCTCCACTTGATGATTGCCCGTTCGGGCAGGGTGTTCGGTGTGTGGGACCCCGCCATAGGTGTTATCCTGCTTAGGAACATATCCCGAACGCCGATCGATACCTGGCCTTGATGATTTGGCATAATTGTTTCCCGGAATGTTCCAAGTATAAATTTTATCCCGAATGCCGTTCGAGAGTTCTTTTGGACTGCCTTGGGCCCGCTGCTTCTTCCTGGATTTGGGCCTAGGGATATTGGGCCTGGACCCAATATCCCAACACTAGTCCCCCACTTCCTATGTCTCGAACGGTAGAGAGTGCATAAGGAAGTAGAAAATTATTGCCCGAATGCTGTTCGGGTGAGTATCGGATGGCGTTCCGCCGGTTCCCGAGGCATATTTTGACGGTTATTTGCAACTGCCGTTTCACTTCTCCGATAAACGCCATGATTACCTGAGAAGGATTCTCTGTGTGACACGTGTCTCTGTCATCATTACAAAAAACGTGTCCTCTTCTGATTGGCAGCTGAATCGGCGTGACAGAGTATAAATAGGCTCTTCTGGTTTTGATTCTGGGTTTCGAAACTTTGCATCTCCGGCTTACCATTCATCCTTCTCTCTAGAGCTATCCCTTAGTTCTCGCTCAGGTACTTTCTGGCCTTTGTTTTTCTTCTATCCTCCTTGTTCGATCGGTATGGCAACCCGTCTTCGTCCCTCCGAGTGTTCTACCTCAAACGTTGATCTCCCTGAGAATACTCCTAGCCTGGCACTGGAGGTCACTCCTATCCCGGCGGAGATCCCCCACGACGATGCCTCTTCATCCGGAACTTATCCCGATGGTACCAAATCCGGGGGTGAAATGGAGGCCATGGAAGCTGGTCCCCCAAGCGGCGTTTCTTGCCATAAGCTTGACCTAGCCCTAATTAGGCTGATGCGTCAAAAACTTATGGCCCAAAATAGGGCCCAAATCCAAATGATGATCCCGGACTCGGTGGATTTCCGACTCCAGGTCGGGCTTCACCCAATGCGTCATTTCCCTGGGATGGTAGTGGTCCACTTTGATTCAATTAAGGCCGGTCTTAGGTTTCCACTCCACCCGTTTTTTGTCTCCTTTTTAAATTTTTACAATGTAGTACCAGCTCAGATAATGCCGAACTCCTACCGGTCGATAGCTGGTTTCATTTGTCGTTGTCACAACGTCAAGGTCATACCTACTCTAGAACTTTTCCACTACTTCTTTTCGGTTATCCCCCAGCAGTCCCACGGTTTTCTGGTGGTAAGCTCCCGACCAGGACATATTTTGTTCTGTGATGCCCCCTCTTCCATTAAAGGTTGGAAAGATAGGTTCTTCTTCGTCTCTGTCCCGAACGGTTTAATTCCTAGGAAGTGGAACACATTCCCTCCTAAATCTCCTGAGCCATTCATCTCCGAAGAGCTTAGCAGAGATGTCATTGCTGTGGAGGCAGGAGGCTGCTTCAAAATTATGTCTTACCTGACCCCCGAACGGCTAATTAAGGCCGGGATAGGTACTGCCCGTATCCCTGGACTTACTTGACTGAAAACCAAGTACCATGGCCCGGGCGGTCCTTCCCGTGTGATATAACTTTTTAATCCACGTGTGAACCGCTCGGTACTAATTTGTTCCTTTTGTTTTTTCAGCTCCAAAGCAAGGCGAATCTTCAGATTCCGAAGGAGACAACCCCGAGCAGCCGGCAATGGATGACAGCAGGCTCTTCACTGTGGGATTTGATGATGAGCCACCAACTTCCCCTCCTAAGCAGCAGAGGAAGTCAAAGAGGAGAAGGTTGAGGAAGGCCGATCAGGGGACATCCTCTCAATCCGCCCCCCTCCTCCCCGAGCAGCCTGAACCTGTTCGGGATGTAGAACCTGTGCAGCAGGTTGCTCCTAATCAGCAAACCCATGCTGACACGCTGATGGATCAGCTTTTTTCTGACCAGCAGTCCCACCATTTCTCTGCTGAGGAGGTGGCTGCCCATCAGGCTGACTTGGCCAGTCAGTTCGAGCGGATCTCCCTTTATGATCCTGCTCATGAGATGTTGGAGCGGGGTGGCTGTCCGGCAAGCCAGATCTGGTCCACATCGGGATTCTTCAATGGCCACAACCTTCCCCCGATACCGGTGGAGGAGGCCGAGGAGTGTATTGCTCTGACTGTTCTGAAGGTAGTTCCTTG